CCCCATCCCTGAAAGAGGCCATTGGAAGTGTAATTTGTGCGGATACAGCACTTCCGCGCGCGCCAGAGGTAGTTGGAGCAGCAAGCAAGAATCGCATCAATGCAGCCCACCGGTGAAAAACATAAAATCTCGGATCTCGGTGCATCTATTTTTTGTATTTTTTTGTGCCCTGTGCAACAATTTCCATCAACATCGCGCCACTGTGTTCCAAGTGTGGCAAAGGGTTGCCCTGGCTGGCCGTGTCCGAATTGGAACGTAGCCGCGACGCCGACCTTCAAACACGGGCACCCAAAGTCACCGCGCGGGACAACTTCGCAGTGGCATACGTGGTGCCACCAAAGATCATTTGCAGTTTCGGGTCTATGCGCGAAAGAAACCGCGTTTGTGTAACCCGGCTTGGCGCCAAGAGCCTGTTGATAAAGCACGTAAGCAGGGCCATGATTTCCTAAGTTTCGTCAATGCTGACTCCTTGTTCAAATTGCCGCTGCTGATTTGTTATTATGTCTACCCCTGCAACGCTTGGTTCAACAAAAACCTGCAGGAGCGTTTGCAGAACGAAAGGATGTTCACATCGCATGCACATGTTTCAATAAAACAAATCAAATCATGGCAGGACAGATGTTGGCTGATGTTGGATGTTGATGATGGGGAGGAGGTGGCCAAAGTTCAAAAAAGTCAACATCCAACATCTGCCAACATTTGTCCTGCCATGATTTGATTTGTTGAATTAAAACGTGTGCATGTGATGTGAACATCCTTTCGTCCTGCAGTCGCTCCTGCAGGTTTTTGTTGGCCCAAGCGTCGCACGGCTAGGCATAGTAGCAGTAAAAGCAAGAGAAGGTAAAACAAAAAATTCGACAGAAGGAGTTATCAACTTCGTTGAGGGACCTCTTCTTTTTATGAGCTCTTCGTTCGCGCAGCGAAAAGAGGACACCCAAAAGAACTCCTCCAAGATGCAATGGGGAGTCTCATTGCCCCACACGGGGTTTGCTCGAACATCGGGTGCGCAAGCTCGATCTTTCGAATCTCTGCTCATGTCACAAGGGGGGAGGATCATCGCAGTCCCCTTCCCTAAGTTAAGGATGGACTCACCCCCCTTTACTTCATTTCTCCTGCAAGGCTTGTAAAGGTTCCATCAATCCTGCAACGGGTACCACAACTCTCAGCGAAGGATCTAATCCCTCAAAGTCGCCTTTAGATGGTCCATCGGCCACGTTTGAGACTGATGGCACCCTATCAAACCACATGTTCACACCAGATCAAAGTTCCCACTCCTCCAGGTGTTCCAAAAGCGAGCGGATACCATCTGACGAAGCTTTCCGAGAGATCAACACACTTTGGGCAGCTTCATTGTCAACAAACCCGCAGATCTCAGAAGTCATGTCAACAACGGCCTCGGGGATCAAAGGGGTTGCACCAACGACAAATGCCAAGGTCTCAGCCTCAAAAATGGCATTCGCTTTCCCTTCTGGGTTAAGGTGTTGGTGCTCGTGGTTGTCAGGGACTCTCCAAACCAAGCGATCAACTTTCTTTGGCCACCCAACAAGACTCCCTCTAATCCTACCACTCCATCTTCAAAGCAAGCATCAGTGAAGAAGCGTGTTCATGCAGCCCGGACACCGCTCTATTCGGGCCATGAAGGACACGCTCAACCATAAACTCCAGAGAACGAACAAGTTCAGGATCCAAAGGACCCTCGACCAGCTTGCTCGGGAAGCCAACGGATCACGTTCAGGTGTTTCAGTGCAGGCTTACCAAAAATCTGAGACTCTGCAAACTGCAACCTACCCTGGACTACCCGAAGCTCCCCAGGACGTGCACTGCGGCACGAAATTCTGGGAAGATAGTTCCTGCTTTCGTGCCTCTGTATTTGATACCCGGATCACACCTAAATGATACTCACTCAAGCCAGCTGCGCCGCCAAGACCTTTGCGATGAGCCCGAAGTTTTCTCCCTTCTCCCCGGAATTTACCACCCAAACACTTCAAAGAAAACATCCAAGATCAAGCTGATGTGGAGTCCTTCTTCTGGGTTGGACACAGAAATAAATTTGGAGCAAAACACACCCAAACCACCAGATGGCGAGCGAGGTTCAACAAAAACCAATCACCGCTACCCTGGCCCCGAGGGGCAAGACAAGATCTTTACGCAGATGTAAGACTCATTCAGAGCTTCGGCTAATAGTGGCAAGTTCTTGTGAGCTTTACGCAAGTCAATGGTCTTAGCACACATCCGAAGGCGGTCGACCATCCAGCCGGAGAACCAAAGAAACCACTATAGTGTCCACCCCCATGGGAGCGATCGTCCTTTCACAGCTGTTGGTCATATGAACCGAAAATTCGGACAAGTCATCTATAGGCCTCACCTTAGTAGATGCTGTCCCCTCCGAGTCAACATTTCGTTGCACAACCGAACCGTCGCCGACTAACCACAGCATTGTGTTGAACTGAGTCTAAAGAAAAAGGTCCTACCATCCAGCCACGATCGACCTCATTGAGCGTAACTGAATTCAGTTTTTCTTCTTCAAGATCTGAGTTGCCTGGTCGGTCGGCCGCCCCCAGTCTGGTGGTGCCACCGATACCCTGGACCTCTTCCAGGGTGAGGGTGGCAAACGAGGGTTTCAAGGGCAAGGTTGGATGTGCGGGGATAGGTCCCACCAGGTCAAATTCAAATCCCTAACAACTTTTGACAAACCCAGGGTCAGGATCCTCTGGTGGTAGCATCTCCTCGAACACCTTGATGCCTTGATGCGTTTGTTTTCCGAAATGGTCATGGGCATCCATCCCCTTCTTGAGCTCCCGTTCTTTGTCCTTCAACGAAGCATCCATTTATGCGTTTAAGCAGTCCTGCCTCTGGCCACTTCATGCGAGGGCTTTGTTCTTAGCGACCTAATTGTTTTCTCCGATCTAAGGAATGTTTTGGATGTCCTAAACGAACTGCCTCCATCAGGAATTCACACGGACTCCAAGAGATTCCTAATTTTGCGATGCTTGGGTGCTTGCCGTTCAAAGAGGAGCACGAAGAAGTCTGGAATTCACTGGAAGTATAAGGTTGCACCTGCCACGTTGGTGGGACTACAACAGCGGAAGTGAGTTTCTGTGGCAACTTAGGGAACATGCCTTGCAGGTGACTCGGTGGACGGATTTGAACTCGGCAACAAGTTCGATCTTCTTGTCGCGGGGCTGGTGGCCAGTGGCGGCGGCCGCCACCCGCATTGGGGGTTGCAGTTGTCCTCGGCCAACGAACGTGGGCGGAGTTCAGCCCCACATTTAGCCAAAAGATCTAGGACCTATGAAGACTTGGGCCCAAGCGGAGCATAAAGCCGTAGGGTATTCAACTTCCATGTGAGTGGACCACTGGCCACTGGAGTGTAGGCCCCAAGGTTCATGCTCGTGAGAGAGAAGGTGGCTGGACCAATCTAGTGTTTTTATGGCGAGTGGATCCGTACATGCAATGATGGAAGGTGACATGAGTCAAACGGGGATTTGTCATAGAGATTTCCGCGTTGAGGTAGGTCATGGTCGGCCAAGGACCGATCGGGATTTTCGATAGTGCACGCAATGCCGGAACGACAGGCGAAGGCCATGATCTCACTTGCAAGGCGGGGAAAGGGACCGTGATGATCCTCACGGCCATAACGCAGCTCATGGAGAGGGATAGACATCCTGATCCAACTGGCGAGAACATCTGAGAGAACGTGCTCACAGACCAGTTGGCAGCCATGCACATGCCTCCGCCTGCACCACGGCCTTCCATTCTGGGAGAGCCGTACACCCTTGCCATTTCCGGAAGCGTGACACCTGTCATGCTTCCACTTCTGCTGAGGCGTATGCGCGACTGTACTTTCCCTTTCTGCACGCACCTGTGCCAGCTTGTCGTGGCTGGCCTCTGTCGGTCCATGCGAACAGGTGCTGTCCCCGCCAACAAGGCAAAGGTCATTCGCCATCGAACCTCTTTGCAGCCCATCTGCGCTCATCTCCTGCGGAATTCTTCCCGCCCACCATGCTCCAGCCTAGATGGCCGCAACAAGTAAAGCATGCCATACCTGACCCAATTGTGTACATTCACACGCATATTGACACGGGTGTCACAGTAATTACGACCGGTGCACCACAGCGGCTGGTGAACGTTACCGCGCCTATGGATGTAAACAAGTTGCCAATCGACAACTGCAGGGTTGTGAAATGAAATTCACTGGCCCATTCTAAGGTCCAGAGCAATTGGAGTAATGGTGTGTGAATTAATGATTACACTGCGGATGTTGTAACTAACCAGGCGCGCGTCACGTTCCCACGGTGGTTAAGAACCAGTTGTAATTGTGCAAGCAGGCGCGCAGGAGTCTATCACCAAAATCCTGATTTGCGCTTGCAATATGGAGCATGTGGCAACCTGACATGGCGTAGGTGCCGCCTTGCACATTGAAGCACATTGTGCGAGAGAGAGAGAATCTTGTAATGCTTTGCATATCCAGAATTTGGTGCGCAGCTGTGATGGTTCACAATGGCGAGTGGGCTGGACAGGTTTTTGAGCAAGCGTTCAGTTATCAAAGCACTGTCACACAGGCAGCGGAGTCACAGATGACATCGTGATTTGCGGTGGCCACAATTCTTCCAAAGCGCGCCACTTTTAGGTCTAAGCCAACATTGTATGCAGGGACGGCCGTGTGAGCAGGCTGGCGGGGGCAAGGTGCAGCAGTTTTGGGATGTGAGACAATGATAGGACGCAACGGAACTATATACAACAGATTCTTTTTGGAAAGACGATTGACTTCAGGTTCTAGGATGTTCTCCAACAGTGCCCAAGTTGTATAGGCGCCAGTCAAAAGGACATTTATAATGGACATGGAGTGCGAGCATTTTTGAATCGGGACATGTACAACACGTGCACTCTCAACAAGAGTGGGGTGTTGGGAACCATATTTCACTTACGCGTGTCATGTCCTTGTAGCTTTTGGGCTGGATTCATTCGAAGATGCCAAAAGTGCCCCAAGTTTGCGCAGCATGGGGGGCCTTGAGATGGATTTCGAACAGCAACTCAGCGGCGAAGTGCTGGAATTGCAAAGGTATTTGGAGATGCGATCTTCGGCTGGTTTTGAATTCTTTTGTTGTTTCTTTACCAAAAGGAGGGTTTCTTAGCAATGTAGTTTTCCTGTTTTAGCGGGAGTACTTATATAGTGTTATTCTGTTATTCATTTTGTTTGGGTTGCGCTTTAGGCTGGAGTGCGCGTACGGGGGTGGTTTAATTGCAACTTCTGAGCTGTTTTTTGGTCGTTTTTTTGGGGGATGGCAGGTGTCTTAAAACAGTTTGTGTTTCTTTTGGGGGGAGGCCTCCCTTGCCATGAAAACTGTAGCTTCTCCGATGCCTCCTTCCTTCCCCTCCCTGCCTGTATGCCACGAAATCTGACTTCTAAAGAGTTGCACTCCTGCGCCATTTTTAAGGATCATTTTCCCTTTACCCGGAACAACGCAAACAAACAAAAGACAGCACGAGACTTTTGAATTTGTTATGTTTTTGTTTTTTCATTTTCTTTCATCCGGGCAACAAACAAACATCACGGTCATCTTCCAAATATTTGTTTGGAACGCACCTTTCCCTGGACTTTGTGCAAGAAGGAGAGTGAGTGGCTGGTGGGGACCTCCCTTTCCCCACCAAAATAGAATATATCTCGCGAAAAGCTCGGAACCCTATATCATAAATGAAATTCACATAGTGTGAGCTGCGGCAGTGGCGACTGCGTATGCCCTTTTCTTTTTTTCCTGGGCGGTATTTAGACTAAGTGACAGATCATGGCAGCGGATCTTCATATTTGAGTTTTTCCTTGCAAACACTTCAACGCTAAGGATTTGATTTTCAAGACCACATCCTACAAGACCTGCAGAAGAAACTGCGGGAGGTGCATGACCAGCAGCGTATGAACGAACCCCTTGGTGGTCTTCCTTTGGTACGTCCACTGAATCGGACCACCACGAACACCATGGGCTCACTGGACACCATGGAGCAGCTGGACTTTTCCTTCACACTGGGTGGCGAAGGCCGCGAAGGCCGTGAAGGCCGCGAGAAGGAAATGGTCCCTTGTAAGCACTGATGGTGCCTTAAGAATGAGGCCAGGAGCTCCTAGTAGTGCCCTTGCTCCTAGTAGCGATGCTCTTTGCTCCTGTAGTACCTTCTTGTTCCTAGTAGTAAGGCCAGGAGCTTAAGGCCACCAGCGCCTAGTAGCGTCCTTGCTCCTAGTAGCGATGCCTTTTCCTCCTAGTAGCTTCTCGTTCCTAGTAGTAAGGTCAGGAGCCCCTAGTAGCGTCCTTGCTCCTGGTATGTGATATATATATATATATGAGAATTTAAAGAAAGTGCACCGTACTATCAGGCATTTGCCCGAGAGTCGGTGGAATTTTTGGAAAACATCGTGAGACCAGCCCTCCATTTTGACTCTGCGAGCCACAGCCGAGGCGCTGCCTGCTCGAACCGGCGTGTTCACACCTGAAGGCTCCGAGCGCGAGGACTATAGCCCAGCTTCCTCGGTGTCCGGCGCTCACCGCGTCAGCCGGGTGTCCCTCACCGACACCGACCTGCAGCGCCGCAGCCGCGCCGAGCGGCAAAGCCAACGCTTGGAGCGGATGCGCCGGGGTTCGTCTCGAGTGTCCTTTGTGCGGGCGCAGATGATCCCCCAGCACTTGAAGGCACAGGAAGCAGCCTCGTGACCCGGAGAGAAGGGGGGTAGAGAGAAGGTAGAAAAATACCTTTTTCAGCCTTTGGAGGTACTTTGGGTGGATGTTCTATCATGATAGCCTGAGGCGGTTGACCTACGCAAGGACAGGGGTGCGACACACCATCATGACACAGCCTGTGACTTGGCGGGGGAAGCTGCGGAGAGTCGTGTATTCGAACCACTTTAACAACGTCATCATGGCCCTCATCGTGGGCAATGCGGCCCTATTGGGCATTGAGATCGATGTTTCTGCACGCGTGGGCCAGGAGTTGGGAGTTGCGGAATGTGGGGTAACAGACTTGGGATCAACTCACGCAGATAGCAGGCTCAAGCAGCATGAACCATTCATAGAACAGCGTTTCACAACTGTTTGCCCAAACTGCACATTCAGGTAGAAGGTTTGGTTGCCCAAGCTGAACTCAACGAACTCAACGAGAGAGTGTGTGGGTCCATGCGGATGGGTGGGTGGTCTCCGAAATTGACCTTCTAGATTCTAGAATCTAGATCCTAGATTCCGAAAAGGGTTCTAGGATCTCTTTCCTCGGAGGACGATATCCCCGTGTGGTTCGGCGCTTTGAATACGGTGGCGGTGTGCGTTTTCGTGTGCGAGAGCATCCTGAAGTTGGTGGCTGTTGGTTGCCATGAGTTTTGGAGAGGTGAGGACTGCGTATGGATCCTTCGGCTTGATTTTCATGATCAGTTTGCTTCGGCTGGAGTTGCTTCTGTTCTAAAAGCACTGATAGGACAACAAGGGACCAAAGCAACTCCAGAAGCTCACAGATTGTCGGGCCCCTTCATGTTTTGAGTGTTTGTTTCTGAACTGGTTTTACTTGACCTCGTAACGCCCAGACATATATGATGTGCCAAGGTGGAAATTGGTCCAATTATATAGTTAGCTGTTTGGAATTGTAATCCAGAAGTGAGCAAAAAGGCAAATGGTTCGTTCTCCACTTCTAGAAATATAGGCCAATTGGGGAACCTTTTCCTCAAGAACCCCCAAGGCCACGAACAGTCTTTTGCCTTTGCCCTCGCAATGCAAGCCCAGCGCTTGTCCCAGGAATCATTGAGCTCGCCATCCAGAATTCACTTTCCTCAACATTAGCCAGGTAGCCAGTAATGACCTAGTGCTCCCCTGAGAATGAGAGAAAGATCCAGACACACACACACATACACCCATATGGCCCTTCTGAACATCCCAATCAAAACTGACCATTGAGAACCCCAGCCATTCCAACAACAACACGTCATGTGTCCAATCAGTTCCGGTGCCATGCTTGATACCCCCAGACAGCCGCAGTATACCGCAGATAGCAACTGCCCTACAGTAACCATCTAGGTGGCAATCGAGGAGTCAGAACAAATATGAACCAACATGAGCAAAAAAGTAAAGCCCGGTAACCCTGCATGAGTCGTTGCATGTTCACAGTCAACTGCAGTTCTTTTTCAGTCTCTTGAATTCTTTTTTGTTCTTTTGGTCTATTTGCTTCTTTGCCTTTGGACTTTCTTTCTGTCTTTGTTTGAAGGAATATCTTTGACTTTGTGATCGTCTCCATCTCTGTGGCAGAGACTTTGGTGGACTACATGGCGGCCACGATTTCGGCCGCGGATGGCTCCAACTCCTTCCGCGTCATGCGGGCGCTGCGCCTGGCGCGGACGCTGCGGGGGGTGCGAATCATCCGCGTTTTCAGATATTTCAGCGTGGCCCGGCAGGTGCGAAGCGAAGAGGATGAACGGGATCGCGTGCAGGAGGATGAGGGGACCTGTTGGTTGCACGATACGTTCAGACAGAGTCCCCCCAAAACGATCAGTTTTTCTGGAATTTGGGGTTGTGCATGAGCATGCGTGAGTTACAAGGGAATGAGAAGGCACGAAGACAGGTTGCAACGGGCCACACATCCTGAATGCTAAGCGAAGCACAAGATCAAAGAGGGGCATCCAGAAAAAGGACAGGACGAACTTGGGAAGAGCATGGAAGAGCCTTGCATTATGCTGTAAAATGGGCCCACAGGAGGCAGAGTCCAGTCATAGGGCTATTCTTGACAATCCGTCATTCCTCTCACCCTTTCATCCGAGGCTTTGCGAGGCTTAATCCTCTCTATCTTTAGCACTTTGGGATCTTTGCTGTGGACGTTGTTGCTTGGCGCGTTCGCGCTCGCTTGCGCGTCAATTCGGGTCCTTCGCAGTGAACTTCACCCTAGGCGTCGCCAGCGTGTCAACTTGGGCGATGCGGATGTTGATGGGGTCCAGACATGAAGGTGATGCCCTGCATGAAAATGGAAGGACAAGCAATAACCCACAGAAGTTATATAACTGCGATCTGCAAAAATCAAGGAAAATAACATAGCGAAAAGCCAGGCGGAATTAGCCACGTGTTGGTGTGAGATGTGTTCGCAGATGTTGCTTGTACATTGCAACAACTATAAGACCCGGCTTCGAGGCTGTTGCTGCTCATCGTGTTCTATGTCTTCTCCTGTATTTTTACACAGCTTGTGACGGACTATTGCCGTTTTGAGACCATCGAAAAGGAAAGCGACCCCAACGCGGTTCCAGTGTGCCCACCCTTACTACAAGAATATTGGTCCAGCATCCTCAACAGCTCTTGGGCTGCATGGACAGGTCATTCTTTCACCGCTTCTTGCAATGTTAAGACCTTGATTCGCTATTAGGGGAGGCCATAGCTACTAGGGTGGAGGCCATCGCTATTAGGTTAAGTTTCCTTGTATACTACACTCTTCACACCATGGGTCGCCCTGAGTTGATGCATTTTTGCCTAGGTATGATGACACTCTTTTTCTCAATCACTGGCGGCGTCAATTGGTACGATGTGTATGTACCCTTGAGGGACGTCTCGCAACTTGCGATTGGCCTGATGAATCTTTACATTGTGATTGGTTTCTTCACGATATTGAATGTCGTTACTGGCGTGCGCCCTGGTGAAGAAATCTTTGGGGCATTTTCAAGGCAAACTGACTAAGGTTCATTTTTTGGTGTCTCCCCCCATGTTGGATGGTCAGAACAAACACCTCGATTGCTGCAAATCTGTGGGGGAAACGTTGCTCTGGCATTTTCGTCATACTTGTTTCCCAATGTTCCTTCCTCTGACCCTCTTCTTGCATTCCAGTTTGACGCCCAAACACGCCAACGAACTATGAAACACGTCGCGAGGTTCGTCAATACCGCCATCGAGAGTGCCAGTGCAGACAAGGATATCGCGACCTTGAAGCAGATGCACAAGAGGGTCGCACAAATGGCACCTTGACCCGTTGGAAACAACCTTTTTCTTGCGTAGCATTTGGGTTTGGGCTGTTCACCTGCGTGCATCTATATGCTATAATGTGCACTTCTAGGTGTCCCCACATGCACCAAGCTCAGCTAGAAAGCCCGTGGGGGCTGCAAGATCGCTCCGTTAGAGTATGTACAATTCTCACATGGTGAATTGGCCGAACCTGCTTGGATCTTGTGCAAGTGTTGGACAAGCAGCACCACATTACAATATTTACAGCTTTCGCTGGGTCACATACTGCATGGGGGAGTGTTGAAGGGATAATTTGCTTGGTGCAGCATGCGATTCTGGACAAGAGAGAGTGTGTTGAAGATCTTGGTTTACTCATACTAGCTTTATGCTCAGCACATTAGCAACATTCACGACACAATAGAACAGACAGTGTTTGGAGAAGGGCCATTCTCGACATGTCATAAAACATTTAATTACTGTTAGTGTTCATAACCATTTTTCAAGCAGATCGCCGAGTCCTCACGCATCATATGATGAACATAGTTCAAGACACACAAGAAGCCGGCCAGCGAGCCAGCGAAGAAGCTTCGTGGATGGCTTTAGTTATATAAGTTGTTGGAGTCCATCTACTGAACCTTGTTGTCGGATGCCTTGGTAGAAAAAAAACTAAGATGACTCACACTGAACCATGGGGATGCCTGTGCAGAAACTGTTTGAGTTTGTTTGCTTGTCTAATTTTAATTACTGTATCTAGCTGGCCCTCAGGAGGGAACTCAGGAGCCGGACATATCCAGTTCTTCCCCATTAAACCGGGAGCCAAGGAGCTACAGTTACAGGATGTTACAGGGAGTTTCCCAACCCCCTGCTACTTATTGTTATTTGTGTCAACTGTACATCACTCCTCCAAGTTGCACAGCTGGGACTGGCCCATCCGCTGCTTCCGAGGAGTCCTTGCGTCAAATCTTCTACGAGATTGACGAGAGCAATGCCAACCAAGTGACCCGACCAATGCGTTATGGATGGTTTCTTTGGTTCTTCAAGGTGTCAGACTGTCTCACCTTTTCCCAATTCCATTGATCCCGATCATGTTGCCTACATGCCGCACTGTCCTGCCCCCATGCCAAGACAAACGCTTTCACAATGCCAGCGGCACTTGCCTTTTCTACTGGTGTTCTTAAAAGGTCAGCCAGAGGTGAGATAGATGATGAACAGGGTAGTGACGTGATCCATCTTTTGCTTCTTTCTTGGAGATCTCCCCGCGACGGAGGAGTTTTTAAGGTCAGCATCGATGAGCTTGAGGAGGCTCTTTCAGAGGCTGAGCTTAATTTTGGATCGGCCCGGACGAGGCTTTGTGCTTTGCAGATGTCACAATATTGAGGGAGTTGTAGGCCTGACTGTAGGCTTTAATCAGCCTCAAAGGGAGCTCTCACAGGGGTTGACGGGGAATGACGGGGAGAGCAGATGGATGTAAGAAGGTGCTCTGGGGCCTCTGGGGGTTCAAAGGTGCTACAATGTGGGGATCTTTGTTTCGTGGGTGTTGTGCAAGTCGCTGCATCTTTCACTGGTACTTCCACAATTTACATATCAGCTGCGTCCTTTGGAATCACAAACCTTTCGTGAAGTTTTTGATTGCAAAAGTGTGTGCCATTCAATTGTTTTGATCTGACTGCCGTTGGAATTCTAATGCTTCAGCTAGAGCACCGTGTGTTGGACGAGGGTGCAAGATAGTTTGGCAGCATTCCAATCGCAGATGGGCTGTCTGGAGTTGATCAGTGTGGCTTGTGTACGGAATGACAAAGCAGTCTTCCAGTCGATCCCCACTCTTGCCGAAAAGCTGGCGCCGGAAGAGGGTACTTTGTTAATTGTTTCACCCAAAATTTCGGGAGCAGAGCGGGCGAGAATTGCAATCCAACAAGGTCAAGCAGTGGAAGGAAGTCCTACCAAGACCTTTGGCGTCGTTGGTACAGAGACGCGCTCTGAAAAAGCGAAAAGCACCCATTGTCGCGAAGAGAAAAAGTTCCACTGCAACCTCGTCAGCTCACGTCAAGCAAGGCTGAAGCTGGGTGACTGTGCTCTGGATTGGCTTTGGCCTTTCTTGGGCTTGCAGCTGGAAACTCTGGGAAGGTTCGGCCCCACCCACCCACCCCCAGCCAAAAAGCTACATTTAAGTCTTGATCATTTTGACCTCTAGCATCTTCTAGCTGCATGCTGGGGCGCAGGGGCTGGCAAGCCATTTGCAGACGGCAGCCAGGGCTGAAGGTTGGAAAAGCGGCCAGATGCGATGTGCGAGTACAGTGAATGCAGACCACGCCCCCCCACACACACATACATTCTACCGTACATAGAGTTCCAAGTTTCCGGCGCATTTATCCTCAAGAGCTGTAGATCGGAGTTGCAGGCGCTTGATGGATCGCGGTTTGCCTAGCTGGTTGTTTGTGGTCGGCTCACACATCCTCAGGTCTTTTCGTGGTTGGTCGGAGCAGGCCGCACTGGAAAGCGAGATGGTCTCAGGCTTTAACCAAGTTCTTGAGACTGGCAACTGAGGGTGAGGAATGACAGCCACTTGTGGGGTGTCTGAGCCTGCTGTGTTACCGTTGACGAGGGCTGGTGCAGCCTTCAGACCTTCTGCGTGGGAAGGGTGCAGACAGACTCTAGCCATAGACCGGGCGCTCAACATTTTTGATCATCAAGTGCTCCTCCATTTTCCTCATGATGCCGTTGCTTTTCCTACGTGGTGATGGTCTGCATAAGGTCGTCCTGACTCCTGACCCCCAAACATGGATTTGGAGGTGGTGCCGAGCACGCAGCCACACCGAGTGCACTTTCGCCATGGTCCTTTCCCGCCCGACGTAGCGTGTGAGTGTTACATTTTTGACGAGATCACCAAAGCTGAACTGGAGCGCCAGCGTAGGCTTACTCGGGCGATGGGCTCAGTTCTTGATGATTCACAGGTTGTCAATGTCAATGCCGTTCATTGGTATGTTGCTGATCATCTGATCCGTCGTCAAATGATCCCTGTTGAGAGTGTTGGTGATGTTGTCGGCCTTGGGCAACATGGCGTGGTGCAGTGGGGGGTGAGATGATGTGGAAGAAGCGAGCATGGGCGAGGTTGAGGGGTTCAAGGATGAGGAAGGACTTTTTGGGTGATGCCAGGTTGTTCGCAGGACGCTCTCTCAGTGATGTCTGGAGAGAAGTTCAGTGATTGCGACTTAAACGGACATCAACGTTTAGCTTGCGAGATTTGTGCACCGTGAAAGTCCCATGCCATCCCAGGCGCATTTATTCTTAAGAGTTGCCTGCCACGCCCACCTCTCTCTTGAGGGGTGGGTCAGATTTCTTTCAGACGCCGTGTGTTCGTGTGATTCATCGCGATCACTTGCGAATGTTCGTTGGTGATTAGCAATGCTTGAGAATGGACCAAGGTGCTTGAATGTAGGCTGGGAAGTGGAGACCGGGCACCTATTTCATCTTATGTCTCAAGAAGAACTAAGCAAGGAATGCTACAGCGCCCTGCCTATGCGTGTGCAACCTGCCGGGTCGCAGCAGCTGTCTGCTTTTTGTGTTGCCGTGCTTGGGGGCATGCTCCTACACCAGCAGCCGTTTGCGCGAACAGGGTCAGTTGCAAAACTTTCATGCTGCCCAACGCCAGCATGGAGCTTGCAGTGCAAGGCTGTGTGGTGTTGGAAATTGGCGTGCCAAGGTGTGTGCGGCCCACGGAAGTCTAAATGGCTCTGCAGTATGTCAGTATGTCCATGTTGTTCCGTGCTGGCTATGTGGGGGCAAATCTTGAAAGCCAAGGCACGCGCGCAGCACATCGAATGTGCCGGAAAGGATCCGCCGAACCAAGGCCATCGAGCCCGCGTCCGATCCGCTCAACGCAAGAATCGGCTCCATGGTGATCTTTGGGTGCGTACTAGAGACTCAGTCAAAAAGACAGTGTCTCAGCGCCTGGACAACAAGTAGCTCCTCAGATGGGTCTTGTGACGGTGCTGGTGAAAAGGGATGTCTGCTGTGTTCCGCTGCCATGAGGTATTAACTTGTAGATCATCTAACGTCTTCATTGAAAAGTACTATATAACTATATAACCCTGTTTTTCGTTCGTCAACGCAGCCATTCCACAACAACATCTGCCATTGCCCATGGTCGGCCCGCCACTCTCAGAACCAAAGGTGTGTATGGGCGGGGTAAATGGAACATGTAAGCAACGCGTGCGCAAAGCTGGTTGTAGCGTTGCCAGCATCAGGCCATTGAGTTCACTGTTTTCCTTCCATCTAAGGAAAACAAACTTGGCACCTTCATGGAATCATTGGGCATCTCCACGGATGATGTGTGGAGCCTTTTTGTTTTGATCGATGCGGATGACAACGGCATTGTCGATCTGGAGGAATTTGTCAATGGCTGCATGCAATTACATGGCCCTGCCAAGAGTTTGCAGGCCGCTCGAGCTTCTTGATTGGGGACAGGGCGTGCATTCTTCGCCAAAGGCATGTGTTTTTTACTGGAACATTTCCAGAACAACAAGTGGCCTCCAGATTTGGGCGTCGGTCAGGACCAACGAGCCCAACAACATGGTAATTTGTAATCGTTCACGCTGATATCATATTTAGATGTTGTTTGGATATCAAAAGAGGGCCCCTTCATTTTAGGACCCGCAACGGAGCGTCAATGATGCCCACAACCAACTGCAACAAAACATGGGTTTTGTTGGCTGCATTGGCCAAGTGTAGCTGCAACCACTACAGCCGCCAACGCGAAACCATGACAACCTTGGAAGGTGCAAAATGCTACAAGGGAGGTCAGGGGATACATCGTGCAAAACAAGGTAAATGATGCGGAAATCACCTTTATCCGGCCCAAACTGAAAAGAAGAGGGGTTAAAAACAATGCGCAGAATCCGAACCAAGAGCACATTAATGTGACTCTCCAACTGAGCTTGCGCGTTCAAAGTTTTCTTCGGGCCCCGGATTTGGGCGATCCACTTGCTTTCTCAACCAAGTTTTGAACATGAGCAGTAAGCACCACCTCTGGAGAGGAACCGGGTAGAGAGCACATTGCAAATGCTCAGATGCTAGGTGGCCAAGATGAGCTATGAGAATAAACTCACACGATGCTCGGATGATTGGAGCAGTGGAGAGGGGACAGGGCCACACGTGGCTATACTATGATATGCGAATGTTTTGTCCAAACTTTTGTTTTGGCAAACGGCTTGCAAAATCCATCTCATGACCCGGTGCTTTGGTAATTCTGGTGAGATGTGAGGACAAGCGATCAAACTCTTGAGCGAAAATATCAAGGAGGTCAAGGCCATGATCGGCCTCGCGCTGAAGTACCGCCTGGTACGTGAGCCGGTGTGAGCTCCAGGCTCTGGAAGGCTGAGGTGACAACTTGACAACCTTCGTGGTATTTGGTTGTCGCCTCCGCACGTGGCAGAGGGCTTTGAACAGTTCTTTTCCACATTTTCCTCTTGTAAATGCCTTGATTTTTCTTGGTCCCTGGTCGGCAAAATTGGACGGACTTGTTGAGAAGAGGGTCAGGCTCAACTAACGGACGGAGATGAATCCATCGGGTGTTTTGCTGTCCGCCGTTGAATCTTAAGGACCAGGATCTGCAAGAACATGTCTTAACTCAATATGTGCTTTCTTCTTGGCGAAGCCATGAGGGGAAGCACGTGCAGTCAGTGCGTAGTTTCACTGGAAGATGTTGGGTCTTGTCGTTTCGGCTGCCTGTTCCCAGCAAGGGGCCTTGACATATACACTGATGGGTTCAAACTGAGCAAGTCAGTGGAAGGGGGATGGCAATCTCTTGCAACTTGTTTCAGACCCATGCCCACGGAGCATACTGCTCTTCAACAGTTCCTTCGGTCCAACAATTGTCGATGCTCAGAGAAGCATCCGGCTCTTTGATGTTGAAAGATCCAAGAGACCTATGGAAAGCAGTACATTTTTACCTGTCAGTCCCACTCGGACAAAGAATTAGGGTCATTAGGGTTTCAGACGCCTTGTAGGTGATGCAATTACTGCCGAACTGGCGGCGCAAAAAACACAATGTGCAGCGAAACATTGCGCTTTCCTGGGTGGTGTCACATCAAGCACGACACTGTCGGCTCTCTGGCAACAACTGGCACGGCATAGACTCCAAGAATTTCTCCACTTTCGATTCTAAACTCCGTCATCGTTTGTGCCTAGGGCAACATCCTGTTGGTTTCCTGACGAAGGTTTCCGGACGATTTGACCCGACCCTTGTGGCGGCCGCAGTCGAGACCGCCTGTGGCGGTGCGAAAAAGGGCGGCGCAGCAGTGGCCTAGCGGGATAAGTGACAGCAGGGCAATCAAGCGCATCGCGGGCATCGCTGCAGCGAAGGAGTCAATGGGGGCATTGCTGCTGTGGTTTTGGGTTCTTCATGGTCCTTGCTTTAAACCAACTGTTGAATTATGTTGAATTTATGGGTTGGTTAAGTTGGTTATGGTTGGTTTCATAGCCACCGAACAACTCCCAAGTCACCGACATCGAAGGGGGATCGTGCGGGACCAATCGCAGAAGGGATCGAGTGGGACGGATGGGGTGGGCATCGCATCAGGCGACGCGACGTCACGAGCTCTGGATTGCCATCGCATTCCTTTCTTTCGCATCGCCTGATGCGATATGGCATGGAAGCCCCCAAAGTTCTTTTGCCGTCGTTTTCGTGCAACACCTGCATGTGGCCCAGTCTTCAGAAGGCCGTCGCCTGTTCCTTGGCATGAAGTTCTTACAGCCTGATACCCCCCAAAAAGGGCACCAACTCAACCCGTCAACCCCTTCAGCATCTCATGTTCACGTGTGCTGAGCTTCGTTTTTGCTTCCCTCTGGCAAGCTCACATGCATTTCGTTTGGCCAGCTGCCATGGAGTGCGATGAAGGGCTGCAACTGGAGAAGGTCGATCTCAGCGGTGAATTGGGCACGCTGAAGCTGCTCCTTGGCTGTGCTTCTTCGATCGCTTCTGGGGCTGAGGTCGCAACTGGGGAAGAGGGAAAACCAAGGGCATCAGGAAATTCAAGAGGTGGCTTTGTGTGGTTACTTTATGTGGTCTATGCATGTCTATGCATGTCTATGCGGCACATGTTGCGCCTGTTGAGAATGTTACTCTTTTGTACCCTTTAACTTGTATCCCCATCATGAGGCCATTAGCCTCCAAGACTTTGAACGCTTCACAATGCTTGAATCATGTTCGTATTTGATTCTGATGTTAGTTCTTGTTCTATCGATTTGGTAGTCGTCCTTGCCAGGTACTTGGACATGCAATTTGAGAAGCAATCAGCTTTGATCGGCATGGTCCTAGCGCAAGGACGGGGCACTTCCACTTCTCTTCAAAGCCCTCCCAGTTCGCCCAGCCCAGCCCCGAACCCATCGAGCCCGCTGAATTTCAAGCTACGAGAACAGCTCAGTGGTGTTTCCAGTGGGCAGATGGGAAGCGAAGATGGGAACCGCTTACACCTACAATTGCCTCAGACACAAACTCGAGAACTGGAAGATCAGCTGCACATGAAGCAGGGTGAATTGATGCGATCTTCAAGTGTCCTGGGCTCAACAATGACACATTTTGGGATATGTTCAGATGACTGCCATAATGCTCACATGTCAGATGGCATGTGCTCCAGTTTAGCTAGCAGCTGTTTTTGCTGACCAGTGGATTCCCACCAGTTTAGCTGAGTAGCTTAGCGAAATATCTTGCATAGATTTCCATGTTCAACAAAAAGCCGGAGCCCACTGATCACATGGCAAGAGAGGGTCTATCATGGTCTACCAACAATGTTTGCCTTAGATCCCGACAAGTGGTGAGCAAGGGTGGGTTGAGTCGACCTGTGTGCCACCCGCCAAGCATTTGGCTTCATCCAAAAGAACACCTCACGTGACAACTTCAAGAGCCTTTTCCGGTGAACATCGGAGAACATCGAGCTTTGCAACTCACACTGAGGCCGTTTGAGGAACAGTTCCCGGACCTCCTTTGTGCGAAATGCCCAGCTTGACCGCCACATGAAAGCGCAAGCACAGGCCTTGCGGATTGCAACTGCCCGGGCAAACACCATGAGAGCCACTAAGCAGGCGGGAAGTGCGGGGCAGCAGCAGCATGATCTTTGAGCAAGTTGGAGTCTAGAATCTTGGAGCAAAAGATGGTTGATAGAACGGCAGCCTGTGCTGTGCTGTGCTGTTTGTCCGTGTGGTGTAGTCTCCGTCTAATTCTTTGATTCTCAAGGTGTGCCCATTGGATGCTTCTGACTTTGGTATGGGGTTGATGATGTGGTCCTTTGGTTTTTCAGGTGGAGATGACCAAGACCAGCTGCAGACACTTTGCAGAGAGAGTCGTGACATGGAGCTGTTTGAGCAACGTTGAATCCGTGCTACGCATCAAAGTGTTCCAATCGTCAAACGATCAGAGTGGCCGATGCGATCCGAAAGAGGTCAGAGGAATCCAGGAGGGTGTTCCATTCGTTTGTTCTTATTTCTGTGTATGTAATAGTGATGGCATGGCATGGCATGGCATGTCAGGTAGGTTAGGTCCGGTAGGTTAGACAGGTTAGGTAGGTTAGGTATGTAGGTAGGTAGGTAGGTAATGCAATGCAATGCAATGCAATGCATGTAATTACTGTATGTTTGTATGGTTGGTATGGTATGTAATGTAATGCAATACATCAAATGTATGTATGCATGTATGTATGTAATGGAATGGAATGCAATGCAAAGTAATGTATATATTGCAATGTTTTGCAACGTAATGTAGTGTGATGTGATGTATGTGTTTCATGGTATTGTATGTGTTGTCTTGCATTGCATTGCATGGAATTGTGTTGTGTTGTATTGTTGTATTGTACTGGACAGTGCTGTACTGTACTGTACAGTGTCGTATTGTACTGTATTGCGTTTATATACGTAGTGTAATTTAGTGTAGTGTATTTCAACCACATGTTATGTATGTATGTATGTATGTATGTATGTATGTATGTATGTATGCATGTATGTATGTATGTATGTAATGCAATGTAATGTAATGTAATGTAATGTAATGTAATGTAATGTATTTAATGTATGGTATGTATGTATGTTATGTTATGTTATGTTATGTTATGTTATGTCATGTCATGTCATGTTATGTTATGTTATGTTATGTATGTTTGTATGTATGTATGTATGTATGTATGTATGTATGTATTTTTTTTCTCCTAGAGGTTTCTTTAGCTGCATGTACGAGGGCTCTTTGGCCAGCTGCGAGCCGGCCGCTGCAGGTTCATGTAGATGAGGAGGTCCTGGTGCTTCAAAAGAAGTCAACATCGATCTCGGGTTCAGGTGTTGCTGAACTTTCTGAGCTTTCCAGGGCAATGGCTTCCTCAAGCTGTGTGGCCTGCAGCTGGGTGGGGCTTTGAGTATCGGCTCCATGTGTTCTGTGCCGTTTGGCATCAGTTGGAGTGGTCACTTGCAGCCCGTGCTGCGTCTGATGCTGTTGCCCGGATGGTGGCTGGGTTTCATGGCCTGCCTCCTGCCAGTGCGCTCGTGTGAGTGGTTCAGTCAAAGGCACAGCATCAGACTGTGGTTGCCCAAATCGCTTCGAGCCTGCTTCAAGGCTGGAGTTCATGGCATGTGCAGGATTTGGGTTGTCTTCCGCTTGAGTGAGCGGTGTGGCAAAGTGAAGCCTCCGTGGAGTTGGCTTAGGTGGACCATCTGGTGCACCTCTGCTGGTGGAACTGCTGTGTTTGTCAGCCGATGTTGCCTGTGTTCCCTGGCGTGCAAAGAAGTCAGTGAGTGGTGGTGTTCCAACCTGAGCAGCTCCTTTGCATGACTTCTTGAAAGCTGCTGTGAGGATGACCCTCTGCTGCCCATCAAGGTGTAGGGTGAGGCCACATTGGGTGCAGGAGACCTTGGTGCCTTTTTGCCACAGCATATGGCTGCTGTGACCTTCATGAGGATGAGTGTACGGCAGATCCAAACACTGCCCGGTAACAAAGGCTTGGAAGGTGCCTTCATTGCTTCGTTTGTGGACATTGGTGCCACACTTGACACAGCGTAGGTATCCAGCAGTCTCGGCGATCTCATGCTGAGTTTGGAGCAGTTGCTTGATGGTCTGCTGCCTAGTCATCTTCTTCGGCAAGGGTTGATGTGGAGTTTCCGGCTCTGGGAGCTGTGCCTCAAGACGGAGCTGTGGGCATTCCTCTTTGAGTCTGTCCTCAAGGATTGGCACAGTGAGGGCCTGGTGCACTCTTATGCCACATACTCCACACTGGTATCCGCTGCGGTGAGGTGCCCATCGATGTAGCGGAGCTGTCCAGGGCTGGCGGCAGGTGCCAATGAGCTGCTTCTTGTATTGTTTGGTGTGTTTGCCCTGATGCCTGTCAGGCTTTTGATGGATGTAGTGATCTTTGCTGTCGAAGATCACTGCCAGTCTGTTGAGGGCATGCTGGTAGATGAGGGTGTGGTCGTCATCAAGGACTCGTTGCCAGTCCGTCTTCCTGGAGTCTTGGAAAGTTTTGGCCCTTTCCCATGCTGCTAAAGCGGCGTCTCGTTGTCTTCTGCGCAACTGGGGCTCACTGCCTGGTGCCTGTGGGGATTTGGTGTTCCTGGCCACATATAGCACGGTGACTCTTTGGTAGTCTTGCGCAGTGACTTGTTCCAGCTGGTCAAGAAAAGGCCCTCGATGCTTCTCCTGTGTCCATGCCTCCCAGACACTGCTAAGCTGCACAATGACCCTCACTGAAGTAGTGGTGTGCTTGGCCAAGGCTATCAATCCTTCCATAAGGGCCCTTGCCTTGTTGTGAGGTGCAGGTGGAGTACCTGTGATGGCCGCAAGTCGCTGCAGTTGCCCCATGGTCATGGTGTGTGCACATAGGCCAAAGATCCAAAGCTGATCACGTGGGTCATAGCTGGAGGGTGTGGCATCCAGAGTGAAAGCCCATCCTTGATGAGGGTGGGGCGCCAATTGCTGTAGTCCCTGCCAGGCTCCATGTCCTTGGTACGGATGTGCACTGTGCTGGTCCTCTTGTGGTTCCAGTGGAATCCATCCAGTCTCCCACAAGGGTGTCTCATCATCTGTTAAGATGCGCTCTGCCCACTCTGCCGGCATGGGAGTGTGCTTTTGATTGTGGCGCCACTTGCGCAACCGCAAGATGTGTTTGGTAGTAGCCGGAACTTTGCAAATGGGACATTCTTTGGCTTTGCCATCTTGCTTGTAATGCAGGGCTGCCTGTGTCCAGGTGCGCAAATGGGGCTTGTGGCCACCAGGAATGGTCTTGATCAGCTTCCTGTAAACGTGCCAATCCAGGCCGGTCACAAGGTGCTTGTGGCTGGGTTTGCTGGCCAGCCGGGCAATGCGCTGGTCCCTGGCCTCCTGCTTCAAGGTCTTTTCGATTTTCCACCACGGGTCTTGCAGGGTGATGTCCTGTTCGGGTAGGAGTTGACTGCCGGGTCGATGCCATCTTTGAAGTTCGGGTACCTGCCAACCCCATTCCAGGAGATATGTGATTGTGGCAGCCATCGGCCCTCGGACCACATACCATGGATATTGCCTCGCTTGGAGTTGGTTGTGGAGTTCTGTCCAAGCCTGCTGTAGGTGCTGCATTTGTTCTGGTGGCCAGTGGTGATACAAATGGCGCATAGCCTTGATGTGATGCAGGGTGACTTGATCCGCAGGATCAATGTATTTCTGACTGTGGAGGTCGTAGGTGATGTCGAGCAGACCTCCTGCATGGTGGCCTAGATGTGTGGCCAATGCTTGTCTGAGGGCTGTTCTGTACCTGGGTGCCAAACCTTGGGATTCTACACCCCAAAGTGCCACTGGCTGGATGCCACCACGATGAAGTCTGAGGCGGACTTTGAGGGCCGGGATCTTCAAGGTTCGCAACTTGATCCTTCGCTGACGGTCGCAGGACTGGGATGCGCCGTCTCCTGGCCGCCTGATGATCAACTCCCAGGTCTCTCATCACCGTGGAAATTGGTGGCTCGTGTTCTTGTAGCAACCCTTGCAAAGCTTGTTCAGTTCGGCGATCTGTGGTGATGAAAGCTGTTTTCTTTGGATTGACCTTGAGGCCCAGTCCAGTCAGGCGTTGTTGTAGATCACGATAAGCTTCAACCGCCTCCTGTGCAACTTGGAGTGGCGTAGTGCCTGCTAGATCGAATCCAACATCATCCACCCAACTGGACAAGTGGGCTTTTGGGTGGTGTTCCTTCCAGGGGATGAGCGCCGGTGCCAGAACGGCCTTTGCCAGCAGTGGTGCTTGAGGACACCCAGCAGGTACTCCTTGATCCACGTGAAAGAACGGTGTCATCTCTTGTTCAGCCAAAATGGCTTTTGGGCCGCAGTAAAGCTGCATGGCCAGCTCCAGCATGAGTGGAGGGTAGTCAAGGTCAATGGCTTCCTCCTGCAGCTTGACAAGGTTGATGGTGTCATAGAAGGTGGACATGTCCATAAGGACTGTGATGCCATGCTGCTGCCGGGCTTTCGTGACCTCTTGGCGCAAGAGCCTTTCCAGTGCCACATGGAGCACATTTGCCCCTGGTCTTGCCCTGTCATGGCTCATGGTGGTCGGCAGATTTTGTTGCCATTGATCTAACAGCGGCTTTCTCAGTCGACACCACAGTCTCCAAAGCGTCGAGGTCAAGGTGATTGGCCGCTCAAGTTTCTGGTTTTTGGGAAGCATGACTACCAGGTGCATTTGAAGCTGGGTTGGCAGTTCAGCTGTGCGTTCCATGTGATGGATCAATTGCAGCAGCGGTGTCAAAGCCAAGGGTGGAGTGGACTTGAGCATCTGGACTGAGACTGCATCCGGTCCACTGGCTCTTTCCGGGAGCGTTTTCAGTGTTCGGTGGAGTTGACCTGGTGTGATTGGCTCCAGGGTCAGTGCCTGTCGTTGGGCCATCTGCTTGATGTCAGGTCTGGTGGCCGGTTCATTGTCCTGTCGAAGCTTCCATAGTCCTCCCCAATCGGCCAGTCGCTGGTTCATCCGCTGTGGCATGGGTGTCATTCTGTATGGTCTTTCCCAAGCCAACTCACTGCTTTTTAAGCTTCTGAACAGGCCTCGCAGGCCTTTTTGATGCCCTTCTTGCAGCCATTGTCGATACTGCAGAGTGCTTTCTTCCTGAGCATGTTGTTGTGCTTCTTGTAGCTGATGGGCCATGGTCTGTAGAATCAACTCGGCTGCATGGGGATCTCTGTAGCGAATCCAATGATGACAGGTATCAAGGAATTGTCCCCAGGTGGGGGCTCCGATCCACTGGTTGGGCACTTGAGTGAGCCTTTGGAGGAAGCCTCGGACTGGGCCGGTCTGGACTTGCTGTGGTTGTTGTAATGCTAGGGTGAAGACCACCTTGATCTGTTCCC